AAGGCCGATGGTTTTCAAACTGTGGCTCACGCTCTAGCGCCGCGCACAATCGCATGTAAACTTAAAAAAATCACGGGTTGGGGGCGGGTGGTTTTCAACATGTCGCACTCGCCTTATATTAGTTTTCAAACTGTGGTTCTCGCCTTGGCGCGGCGCACATTCCCTGTTCAAGAGTTGTAAGAGTTTCATGGATTGAAGGCGTTATTTTTCAACATGTGGCTCTCACCGTAGCGCCGCGCACATTCCTCATCAACATTGCAAGAGTTTCACGGATTCCAATGATCAGCGTGCCAGAACTGGTGTTGGGAAATACTCAAGATTATAAGGTTGCGACAGTTACATGGATTCGAAATGTTGAAGTCCCAGGAATGGCGTTCTGGCACGATCCTCCTCCTCCTCCTCCTCCTCCTCCTCCTCCTCCTCCTCCTCCCCCTTCTCCCCCTCCTGATGCTTCTCGCCCTCCTCCTCCTCGTCCTCCACCTCCACCTCCTCTTCCTTCGGTTCCTCCTCATGCTCCTCTTCCTTTTCCTCTTCTCCTCCATTCCATTTCCTTATAAACAAATTATCCCTGTCGCACCCCGAGGCCGGTCGAAAGGGCGGGCCGGGCGTTGCGCCTGAGACTTCCTCGCCACTTATGACCCTGAAGCCTAAACATTGGCAACAGCTTCACAGATAGAGGGCTGGTCGTTTCCAAAATGTGGCACTCGCCTAAGCGCCGCGCACAATCGTTTTTAACATTTGCAAGAGTTTCACCGATTCACGGCGGATGGTTTTCAAAATGCGGCTCTCGCTTTAGCGTCGCGCACAATCGTTAAAACATGTGCAAGGGTTTCACGGATTCAGGGCGGGTGGTTTTCAACATGTGGCTCTCGCGTAGGTTCGCGCACATTCGTTGTTACAACATTTGCAAGAGCTTCGCGGATTGAGGGCGGGGGGTATTCAACGTCTGGCTCTCGCCTTACCGCCGCACACATTAGTTTTTCCCGGAAAGGGCTTTGGCCCAGGGTTCTCTTTTAGTTGGTAAACCTAATCCCCCGGTGCCAACTTGAAGGAGGCCGGCGAATTTTTTCCCTGATAAATATCGAGGTCGAAGGAGGCCGGCGAATTAAAATTTGAGGATGTCTCGAGCGAAACGCTTGTTTTTGAAATCCCGATCGATAAATCACAGGGTGCGGGCCACTTTTTCGTGTGTTGAGGATGTCTCGAGCGAAACGCTTGCTCCGCAGAGTTTGCCGAGGATGTCTCGAGCGAAACGCTTGTTTTGCAGAGCCGACCGCGACGCGGAAAAGCGCCCCGCGCGAAGGAATTTCGATGATGTCTCGACTAATTTGTTTGTTTTTGTACGATTTCCTGGAATTTTGGCAGGATGTCTCGAGCGAAATGCACGACCCCACCCTAGCACGACCATACCCCAGCACGACCACACCCCAGCACGACCAGACCCCAGCACGACCCCACCCCAGCACGACCCCACCCCAGCACGACCATACCCCAGCACGACCACACCCCAGCACGACCCGACCCCAGCACGACCCTACCCCAGCAAGACCACACCCCAGCACGACCACACCCCAGCACGACCTCACCACAGCACGACCACGCCCCAGCACGACCACGCCCCAGCACGACCACGCCCCAGCACGACCACGCCCCAGCACGACCACCCCCCAGCACGACCACCCCCCCAGCACGACCACCCCCCAGCACGACCACCCCCCAGCACGACCACACCCCAGCACGACCACTCCCCAGCACGACCACACCCCAGCACGACCACACCCCAGCACGACCACACCCCAGCACGACCACACCCCAGCACGACCACACCCCAGCACGACCCGATCGATAAATCACAGGGTGCGGAGCACCCCAGCACGAACCCACCCCAGCACGACCCCACCCCAGCACGACCCCACCCCAGCACGACCACGCCCCAGCACGACCACACCCCAGCACGACCACACCCCAGCAGCACGACCACCCCAGCACCCAGCACGACCACACCCCAGCACGACCACACCCCAGCACGACCCCACCCCAGCACGATCACACCCCAGCACGACCCCACCCCAGCAAGACCACACCCCAGCACGACCGCACCCCAGCACGACCTTACCACAGCACGACCACACCCCAGCACGACCACGCCCCAGCACGACCACGCCCCAGCACGACCACGCCCCAGCACGACCACGCCCCAGCACGACCACGCCCCAGCACGACCACCCCCCAGCACGACCACCCCCCCAGCACGACCACCCCCAGCACGACCACCCCCCAGCACGACCACACCCCAGCACGACCACTCCCCAGCACGACCACACCGCCTTGGTTGAGTGGTTGCCTGTCGTCGTGGAATGTTTCGTGGGGTGTCTCGTGGAATGTTTCGCGGGGTGTCTCGTGAAATGTTTCGTGAGGTGTCTCGTGGAATGTTTCGTGAGGTGTCTCGTGGGCTGTTTCGTGAGGTGTCTCGTGGGATGTTTCGTGAGGTGTTGCCCAGTTGGGTATCATGAAAACGTGTCCATGCTCCACATGTCTATATCCCTTTCCGGGTTCGTGGGTCCATCATGTTCCCGGAAAGGGCTTTGGCCCAGGGTTCTCTTTTAGTATGTAAACATAGTCCCCCGCGCCCAACTTGAAGGAGGCCGGCGGATTCTTTCCGTGATAAATATCGAAGTCGAAGGAGGCCGGCGGATTAACATTTGAGGATGTCTCAGGCGAAACGCTTGCTTTTGAAATCCCGATCGATAAATCACAGGGTGCGGGCCGCCTCAGCACGACCACACCCCAGCACGACCATGCCCCAGCACGACCACACCCCAGCACGACCCCGCCCCAGCACGACCCCACCCCAGCACGACCACGCCCCAGCACGACCACACCCCAGCACGACCACACCCCAGCACGACCACACCCCAGCACGACCCCACCCCAGCACGAGCCCACCCCAGCACGACCACACCCCAGCACGACCACACCCCAGCACGACCCCACCCAAGCACGACCACACCCCAGCACGACCACGCCCCAGCACGACCACTCCCCAGCACGACCCCGCCCCAGCACGAGCCCACCCCAGCACGACCACACCCCAGCACGACCTCACCACAGCGCGACCCCACCCAAGCACGACCCCACCCCAGCAAGACCACACCCCAGCACGACCACACCCCAGCACGACCTCACCACAGCGCGACCTCACCACAGCACGACCACACCCCAGCACGACCACGCCCCAGCACGACCACGCCCCAGCACGACCACCCCCCAGCACGGCCACCCCATCAGCACGACCACCCCCCAGCACGACCACCCCCCAGCACGACCACACCCCAGCACGACCACACCCCAGCACGACCACTCCTCAGCACGACCACACCCCAGCACGACCACACCACAGCACGACCACACCCAGTCGCACTCCCGTGGAATGTTTCGTGGGGTGTCTCGTGGAATGCCGTCGTCGTCCTCGTCCGCGATGTGCTTTGATTGAGTGGTTGCCTGTTCGTGGGGTGTCTCGTGGAATGTTTCGCGGGGTGTCGCGTGGAATGTTTCGTGAGGTGTCTCGTGGAATGTTTCGTGAGGTGTCTCGTGGGATGTTTCGCGGGGTGTCTCGTGGGATGTTTCTTGAGGTGTCGCCCAGTCGGGTATCGTGAAAACGTGACCGTGCTCCACATGTCTATATCCCTTTCCGGGTTCGTGGGTCCATCATGTTTATGAAAATTTGCTAGAGTTTCACGGATTGAAAGCGGTTCGTTTACAACATGTGGTTCTCGCCGTAGCGCGGCGCACATTCCTTGTATGATATTGCAAGAGGCCACGGGTTCCCATGTTCAACGCACCAGAAATTGCATTCTGGAAAGATTCAGGATTATGAGGGCGCAGCAGTTACGTGTATGCGCGGTGTTGAAGTCCCAAAAATGACTTCAGTCAGGTTGATCCGTGACATTGGAGCCTGGATAATGATGTTCTGGCATGCTTCAGGGTCAACAAACGGTTGTCTTCCAACGAGTTCCCTCAGTGAGCATGAACCCTTGTAGGGGCCTATGAAGAGGGAGCTTAGCAGAAGGTTGGTTGTCAACATCGCTCGCCGATGACATCTGGGTTTATTACTGTTCTCCTCCTCCTCCTCCTCTTCCTCCTCCTCTCCCGCCCTCCTCCTCCTCCCCCTCCTCCCTCGTAGTCGACCCTTCGACTTACCTCAGGCGAAGTACATGCCGACCCAAACTGCCAACATGAACGCAGGCTGTGGCGGCGAGCTCCCTACAGGGCGGCCCCCCCCAAACCAAAAAAAAAACGCGACCGAGGTCCCCCTCCTCTTGGCGCCATCGAAATGAAAGCAAGCACACAAACATTATGCTTCGGGAGCGGCCAAGAGGGGGGTGTCCAAGAGGGGGGGGTGCAAATCATGACCGGCGGCATGTGCGCGGCCCAGCGGGGGGGCCAGGGACGTACTAAAATAAGAAGAAGCGCCACGAAATCTGGGGAGATATCATGGCCCACGCCATGATATCCACCCCCCCCTAGTCATCACCCCCCTCTTTTCCGCCCCTGAATGCTGCTGCCAGCGCCCCCCCCCCCCCGAGAACGCAGGGCGAAATCCCCAGGGAGCAGCGGGCCCCTCTCGGGCCTGGCGGACGCGGTGCGCGGTCGCCGCTCGTCGAAGTCGCGGGGCGCAGGACCCAGGGAGAACGCCGGGGTCCGCGGGTCCGCGGCATGCAGGGCTCGCGAGGCGGACTGGGAGCTTTCCTCTCAATCTAAGCCCTCCTCTCGCGTCCCCCTTTTCTCCTGTCGTGTCCCCCTTCTCTCCTCTCGCGTCCCCTCCTCTCCTCTCGCGTGCCCTCCTCTCCCCTCGCGTCCTGGGCAGGACACATCAACCCTTCCTCTCGCGTCCCCCGTCCCCTTTGCCCTCCGCCGCTCCTCCCCGTCCACTCCTCTCCTCTCGCGCGCTGGGCACGACATGTGAACCCCTCCTCTCTCGCGTCCCCGGCTCTGTAGTCCTGGGTGCTGACAGGCGCCCCCTGCTTCTTGCCCGCGCCCTTGGGCACCGGGACGTGCTCGAGATTCCTCGCAACGCGGGCCACGGATGGGATTAGAGAAAGGGGGCATGGGGAGGAGGGGGGAAGGGGGGGGTGGAGACCAAACGCACCCTCTTCTGCTTCTTCCTCCTCCACCTCTTTCTTCCTCCCCCCCCTTTTCTCATCCCCCCCGCCTTCTCCTCATTCCTCTTCCGTCTCCCCGCGCGCGCAGAAGTAGAGGGAGTGAAGGAGGTTGAGGAACCCTTGGGGGGCTCTGTGACGTGGGGAATCTCGAAGGGCCACTGGCGCCCCACCGATGGGAACGCGGTAGCTTTATCAAACGACACAAAGCATGGCCATTTCTGTTCAGCACTCTCCGACAGGCTGAGGGCTCTTGCAGCAGCATCCATAACTATGATATACCAAACGAAATTCCTACCAATAACAAAACCTCTCTGATTGTGGTGCACTTGTTTGGCAACCGCTTGGCGCAGCACGAAGTTAGCTGCACTGGCAATTATTTTGGTGTCAGCATTGCGTAGAGACAGCGGGCGCACTTTGCTAGCTTGCCCAACGCAATCGAAGTGATCATCTGGCAACGATCCCCTCGGAAGGAAGGCGAGAACAGAGTCGTTCAGATCGCGTGGCACATCGTCCCCCTGAAAGAGGTGGAGGGCAGGGTCGTGCAAGGCATCTAGCTGCTCTGGGATCGCGTCCCAGGCACGGTCAGTGAATCCATCAGGCCCTAGGGCAGGGATCCTAGCGCGTGACGTGGCCTTATCATGGCTGGCTCGCGACGGCACGGGGAGACCCTCAAAGCCGTTGCCGTCCCCAGGGGGCCCGAGGCCATCAAGGTAAGAGCGAAGCTTGACAGGGTCCACCATTTTGGCCTTAAACACCTCCCCCCCCAGTGGCTGGATAGCGCGCCACGGATACCTTCAGCAGAGCGCGCCGTTGGCGGTGCGGAGGTGGGCGGGCAAATCGGGCCTTCTGCCACTGGGGGAGCAGGTGCAAGCGTCTCTGGACGCACACCCTGCAGGACAAGCGAGCTGCCTTTCGGGCGCCAGAGTCGAGCCTTACGCTGTAGCGAACGCTGGGGGCGACGCGCAGCGTCCGCAGAGAGACGGCCACCTGACGCGGCAGCTTGCTGAGCCATGGTGGCAGCGCGTGATTGGCGGCGCTCAAGCGCGGCAGCGCTGGTGCCCCGAAAAAGGGCACGGAACTGATCGGATTCAATGAGGGTGAGGGAGGTGGCCGAGAGAGACAGGAATCGAGCCCCAAGAAGGGTGGTAGCCTGCAGGGTAGCCCCGACCCGAAGACCTTGCCTCCAAATGGCCCTCGCGATGGCTCTCAGGGTGACCAGTCGAGCCTCTAAGGCATTGGGGTCCTGCGAGACTAAAGGGAGGCCCTGGGGCCTATTACGGGCCTCACGGGCTGCTTCCCACACACATTGCTTCATACATTTCCAGCGCGCAACAGCAGGGACATGTGAGATATCAACAGCGGCGACAAGGGGCGGCTAGCTTCGCGCGATAGCGCGGATCTTGAAATATAGAATCAGGAATGCGAAGCTCATTGTGTTGACCCATGCTACGGTTCTGAAACGAAAGCGAGACCAACGCGTGATCGCTCAGACGAGCGTCGGACATGTGGCTTGGGTCAACATGAACTTCCATCACAGCGTCAATCTCGAGCAGGAATTCCGAGGGAATCCCCAAGAAGACATCGCCCCCGTGACTCATCCCTCAACCCCCCAACCCCCCGGCCAGATTTCTTTTCTTTCCGCGGGGGGTCAACCTTCGCGGCGACCCGTTAAACCCGGGACCCCTGGCGGCGCATGGATTTCTTTCCTTCTTCCCCGCGCGCGTTGCCGTTGGAACCCCTGAACCCCTCCGACTACCGTACTACTTCCTGCAACCGCGATTAAGGTGTTGTTGCATTGCACTTACAGTCTCGGCTCTCACGCTTTTCTTCCTCTGGTTGCGCTTGGGGGGGTGGGGCCCCTCGCGCGGGCACCCCCGCGGCTGGGAGTTCATTCCTCTTCCGGAATTTGAGGGGGGGGTCACCCCCGTGCTCGAACCCCATCGCCAGGGTTTTTTTCTTTCCTCCGCGGAAACCGGACCCCCTGGGTTCTTCGGCGCGCCCCATTTTTTTTTTCTTTCCGGTTGGGCCTCCATGGGTCTTAGGTTGGAGTCACCCGGGTGATAAGAAGACACGATCAAGAGTATTCGCAGTGAAGTGCTGGCGATTAAATCTTGTCGGAAGATCTGTGCAGACCTCTGTAGCTGCAAGCATGAGCGGCGTCCAGAAAGTCTCCAGTGGGGCCATGTGCGTGTCTACCGCAAGGCGCGCATTGCCAGGCTCGGGGTTCTGGTAGCTCACAGGGGCACCCGCAGCGATGTTGAAGTCGCCCAGCGCAGTGAAAGTCCTCTTCAGCGGCTCCTCTCGACACCATGCCATCGCCTGCTGCCAACCTTCTCGAATGCGGTGGAGCGTGGCAGGGTCCAGTTCATAGTTGTGCACGTTCATAATCTTCATCGCGAACTGCGTCTTGGGATTGACGATTCTGACGAGCTGAACTCGCCCGTCAGCAAGAACTTCAGGAGAAATGACTGGTTGATCTTCAAGCGGAACAGACGGCGCAATCATCTGAGCGGGTTGAGGGACCAGAATGGCGACACCACCAGCACCAGTTCGACCAGTGCTTGAGTGAATGAGCATATAATTTAATGGAGTAGCATTGAGGAGAGTGCGGAGCATCTCGGTCGTGCCGTGGGACTCCTGGATGAGAATGACTGCGCGATATTTCATATGAGGAAAAAGTCTTTGAAATTTGCGACGGCGCCGCTGATGGTCGAGACAAGCAAGCCCACGAGCATTCCACGATATGATGCGACCACCGTGTCGTACAGGCGCCCACTCCCATGGGCACCAGCGGCTGTTAAAGACTCCACCCATCGCCAGTGGTGTCCACCGTGTTGGAGCGTGCCCAAGGAGGAGGAGGAGGAGGAGGAGGAGGAGGAGGAGGAGGAGGAGGAGAGGGAGGAGGTGGAGGGGGAGGAGGTGGAGGAGGAGGAGGAGGAGGAGGAGAAGGAGTAGGAGGCGGAGGAGGATGAGCCAGCGACGACGGCCGACAGATGCGCGGCCAAGAGGGCGCGCTCGCCTGCCGACACGAATCTTCGTGCCGTTGATGTCGTGCACCTTCTCTCGGACGATCTCGCCTGCCCACTGGCACAATCGGCCTCCTCCTCCCCCTCTGCGAGGCCATGGTTCATGCGTTTTTCTGTGCATGTCCACCGCGCGGGGAAACGATGCCCCACCCCAGGGGGGCAGTGCATGTAGATGTTTTTATGCCCCTGGGGAGGGGCGGGGGGCGGGAAAATGTATCCATCCCCCGACATCCGCAGATCTGATTCTTGCAATCTGCGTCCCCAACCGTCCCGACCACTTCCCCGAAGGTAGCCCTTCGTCCAAGATCCATCTTTGATTGTCCTGGGGCTCGAGAGAGCCCCCCCCGAGGCCCGAACTCGAGGAAAGCTCGCCGGTGGAAGAACTCGGGTCGTCGGAGGTCTGGCCCTGCACACGCCACCTCCTGGGGTCCCGGGAGATCGGCCGCCCGGGCGGCGGAGGTGTGTACAGATTCCGGCCGCGAGCTCCTCCCCTCCTCGAGGCTGGCACTGGGGCCACGACGAGCTGCGAATTCTGGGATTTCCGTCGACGGGCTCCTTGACGAGGCGCGGCTGGTGGACAGCACGCCCAGGGCCCGAAGACCCTTGAGGGGCCGAAGGTGTGAGGAAAAACCTTGAAACTGTTCCCTCCACTCCTCGTTGTTGTCGAGGTCGTGGTCGTGGTCGTTGTCATCCTCGACGTCGTCGTCGTCAGCGTCATCGACGTCGTCGTCGTCAGCGTCGTCGTCGTCATCATCTTAATTATCATTATAATCAGCTTCATCATCACCACCATTATCATCACCATCATCATCATCACCACCTCCATCACCATCACCATCACAATCACAACCATCATCATCATCACCACTATCATCAACATGATCATGATGATGATGATGATCATCATCATCATCCGCATCCTCATCCTCATCCTCGTCCTGATCCTCATCATCTTCATCACCATCATCATTATCATCAGCATCAGCATCATCATCACCATCATCATCGACATCGTCATAGTCACCGTCACCATCTTCTTTTCTATGTTTATCCTGATCCTCATCCTCGCTATCATCTTCAGACTCCTCCTCATCGTCAGTATTATTCTCCCGCACGCAGCGCAAGCGATCAGGTCCCGGAGGCGGGCGCGCGGCGCGCGCGCGGCGACCCGTAAAGGATGACGGGGCGCCGCGCCCAAGCCGTGCGGCGCCCTCAGACGACCTCGTCCAACGAGGCCATCTGGACGGCCAGGTGGCCGTAGCAGCGCCGCAGGCCTGCCTGAGTAAGGCGGGGAGGGGGGGAGGGGGCCGAGAAGCTGCAGGACCTGAACGGGCGCGAGCGGCAAGGAGAATAGAGAAGCGCATTCTCCCGCACGCAGCGCAAGCGATCAGGTCCCGGAGGCGGGCGCGCGGCGCGCGCGCGGCGACCCGTAAAGGATGACGGGGCGCCGCGCCCAAGCCGTGCGGCGCCCTCAGACGACCTCGTCCAACGAGGCCATCTGGACGGCCAGGTGGCCGTAGCAGCCATACCCAGGCTCAAAGCCCTTGCGAAGTGACAAGGTTTTGGCGGGCGGCCGCGAGCAGAAGGGGCCACGCAGTGGGGCCACAGTTCAGAAAGGAAGCGACAAGGAAGTCGCTCGCGCCATCGAAGTAGGTGACACGGGCCCGAGCGGCATCAGGCAAGGCGGAAAGCATCGCGGCGGAAGCATCGTCGTGCAAGAAGCGCTCCGCGCTAGACGCCTGGCGCCAGCGACTACGCCAGAAGATACGACCAATATCTTCTGTGGCCGTATGAAAGTCTGTCGCGCCTGAGCCGCGGGGGCAAGCAGGGGTCAAGTGGAACCCCGCTGGCGTCTCGGCGAGCGGTACGCCTAACGCCAAAAGTAAATGGTTCCACCGAGTACGGAAGCCGCTTTGACCAAAGGTCGACAGAGGATCGGTGGGACCCAAATGCCGAAAGACCATCTCCAAAACCCGAACCACCGCTTTGTCAGAGCACCAGGCGTGCTGTGGCGGGTAAGACATGCTGCTCACTGGATCGGGAATGGTCATCCAAGCGTTGCCTGAGGACTCAAGGCAATCCGAAGGCAACAAAAGGTCACAGCGACGGGCTGACAGCAGCTCGTCGGGCTTCAAGGACATCGTGAACCCTGCCAGCAGCAAGGCGGCCATGACTGGCCAGTCCCAAGTGAAACAAACTGCCACCATAGCGCGCAAGAGCGCTCGTGGCATTGGCGGCCGAAGGCGAGGTGGCTGAGACCGCTTCCAGGCCCTCGCCACTCCCCACGCCTCGGTGAGAAAGGGCTTCCAATGAGGGAGACGTGCCTGGACGCCTATGATCGCGTGCACCAGGATGTTGAGCGGGAAACCTGCGTCGTGCAGCCACACGCCGAACGTTGCGAGGAACCTCGACAGCAGGATCCCACTACGATACAGCGGAAGTGGCGCCACCCCTGCGTCCTCGGCGCACCACAATTCGAACGCGTAGAGAGCTCTTTTGCGCCGATCGCCGGCCGAAGTCAGAACAGCGCCTGACCAGGGAGCGCTGGGAGGCTCCGTCTCTGCCGCCCTGCGGCGGCGGCGGCGCGCGGGGTGGGGGACTCGCCGAGGCCAGGCAAGGGTGGCACTCTCGTCGCGATGCCGCGCCGGCTCAGCCTCGCTGTGCAAGCCCGTACCAACCCTGGCCTCCGCCTCGGCGGCGCTGTCCACCTCCGCGAGGGCAGTTGGCGCTGCCACAGGCGAGGGCGAGTACGCCGCCGCCTCAGGGAATCCAGCGGAGGCGGCCTCTCTGACGCAATCAGCAAGACGAGAGCGGGCGATGCGCATCGCATCCTTGCGCCGCTCGAGCTCGGCTAAGAGCGTCTGCATTCGCTTCGCCAGCTCTCCCGCGCTCTCGCCAGTCTCTTCGCCTGTTCCCAGCATAACCTCGGTGAGAGCGGCCTCGGCAGCGGCGACCGAGGATAGGAATCGCGCGCGAGCGCGCCGGTCGGCACGCGCGCGCCGCGCAACCGCGGCCGCTGGGCCAGCGACTCGGCTGGTGCGCATCGCAACCGAGGTAGCGCACGCCCCGTCTTGGGGCAGGCCTCGAGCCGCGCGCGCAGAGGGCTCCAAGGAGTCGAGAAGGTGTGGCGCAGCCGCCAACGCGTCTGAGCCCTTCTCGTGCGCGGCTCCGCTAGGTTGGGGGAGATCCGCGCTATCAACGGGCGAGTCCACCGACAGAAGTGCGGCGCGAGGCGCGGCCGCGGGGCCAAGAGACCTCGGACTGGCCCCGGCACGGGGTGCGGCCTCAAGCATGGCGAAGGAGGCGGCGGCGGGCCCCGAGGCCGCGGGTATGCGCGCAAGCGCGTTCGGCCGCAATCGATCCGCAGGAACCCGCATGGGTGCACCGTCGACGCGTAATGCTGGTGGCGCACTGGCGGCGCGAGCAGGAGGGCCCATGCTGATCCTGGCGCCCCGCGCCGAGAATGCGCCAACCGGCAAGCTCCCGGAGCTCGCCGAGCCGGTGACCGTGGGCGGGTCGCGAGCTCCGGAAGCGAGGTCGCAAGCGGGGTCGCTGCCGGAGCCGCGCGGCGGCGGAGCGGCCGCGAAGCGGGCGGCTGGGCCAGCCGAGCGGGTGCTCGCGCGAGCGCCCCGCGGCGGCGGTGCGCGGCGAGAGCCCCGCGGCGACGCCACTGGCGGCGCGTCCTGCGAGTCCGACTGGCGTCGCGGGGCGCGGTCGGAAAAAGTATGCGGAACGCGGGCGCCGTCCCCCGGCGCAAGCGGCGCGTCGCGCCACTTCGAGGTGCTGCCGAGCCGGGCGCTGCTGGAGGGGGCACCGGGCGCGCCTGCTCCAAGGCCCGGGCTCCAGGAGCGCGAAGGCAAAGGCTCACGCCCCTCGTCCGCCGACGCGGCGGCGCGATGGCGCGCGCAAGGCTGGCCCCACAGCGCGAAATTGGCAGTGCGCCTGGCCCTACGACCCGGGGGCGGCGCGGCCGCGCCAGGCGCCGAGAGCAGCGCCGCGGGCGCACGAGCAGCGCGCGCACGACGGGGGCGCTCAGCGCGAACCGTTTCCGCTGGACGAGCTGGCCGATGGCGCCTTCCGCGCGAAGAGCAGGGCGCCGAGGGAGTCCCAGAGGCGGAGGCCCCGAAATCCGGCCGTGCTCCGCCCAGCTCGGGCTGCAAGCACTGGCAGGCGCCGGCGGCGCGCCCGTCTGGCCACGGCCGCGCTCTTGCATATAGGCGCGGGCCCGCACGAACGCCTCCGCGGCAAGTCCCGTGCTCCCGTTCCTGGCAAGGTAGGGTTCCCGCTCCCGGCTGGCAACGAGAAGCCTCGCCAAGCAGGAGCGACTTCGCGTCGCAGAACCTGGACCAGAGGGGAGAGGCGTCCGCGCGGTCCGATGCGGACAATGGGCGATGGCGCGCCCTGTCCGGGCGGTGCGGCGTGGCCAACCGCCGGAACTGGCGTTCCATGGCCGACCGGTCGGCACCCGGTTTGAGCTGAAGGAGCTCGCGCGCCGTCCGCACCTTTGCAACCTTGGCGGGTCGCTTGGGATCGGTCCGGGCGGCGAGCCTCGGCCTGGCCGCCGAAAGCTGGGCGGGCGCGCCGGGCGGGCCAGCGGCAACGGGGGCCGCACCCGGCCTGAAGGGCGCTTCGAAAGGCGACGCGCCCTGGGAGGCTTCATGGGGAAGCGCGGAGAGCTCAGCGGCACCTTCGGCGCTCCTTCCCCCGAGGCATCCGCCGCCCACCGCGGGAGAGGCGTTCCGCCTAGGAATCTCTGGAGCCTCGGCTTGCGCTGGGTCGGGCTGCGGAAGCGTGCCGGGAGCTTCGAGAAAAACCGGCGCCTCGACCCCAGTTGCGGCGGCCGCGCTTGCAAACCATGCGTCGGCCGCGGGGGCGGGCGAGAGAGGGGGACGTGCCGCCAGACCATGGGCGGCCCGGGCATTCCCCCGCGCAAGGAGCCCCTGTGCTAGGACTAGCGCGGCGAGCCGTCCCCATAGGCAAGTGGGGTAGGGAGAATGCGCGTCAGCAAGTGCGACCCAATCGAACCTACCGAAATCGCCCGCCTCAGCGTC